TCATGATCTCATTAATGATAGCCAAATGGCGGCCGCTTTAAGGCCGAAAATGCATTGAAATCGCACATTTTCACCATTCCGGACCCGGATCTCAGTTATGCATGGACGGATTTCATTCAAATTTGGTACATACATTAAACATAATAGGACCTTGATGCACGTCATTTTTTTTTCGGATCAAGTTCGAAATAGCCGACTGGCGGCCATTTTGTTTTAAAGAATTCAGTTCTGGATCCGTATCCAAGACATGTCTGGATTGATCAAGTTCAAACTTCACACACACATGGTACATCATGTCACAAATAGATATGTGCATTTGTTTCATGATCTGCTTAACAATAGCGGAATGATGGCCATTTTAAGGCCGAAAATGCATCAAAATCACATATTTTCACAATTCCAGAACCGGATCTCAGTCATGCATGGATGGATTTTGTTCAGATTTAGCACAATGTGTTGTACATATGCAGGTGCATTTCGGTCATGATCTGCTTTGAATGTATATGTCACTCAAATATGAACGGAACGGGACGTGTCATTGACAATGACTTGTTGGATTTCGGCATTCCCATGATGTATCCTTGGAAAGAAAAGATGTATAATAATAAGGTTATTATGAGAATACCTCAAAGTATGCACTCAGACTACACTGCGCATTGACATCCGTCGGTCTATACTCCTGCTGTACTATCTTCATGCATACTTTGAGATATTCTCGTAATAACCTCATATTATATGTTATTGTTATCGTTTGTGAGAAATCCATTTTTTATCTAGACACGTATGTTATATTTGAGTGATGGGGTTTTATTATTTCTAGTTTCTATTTTTCTAGTCACTGTGCATGTCGGTTAATACATGTGTGTCACAGATATTTTTGGAATTTTTTGGTCAGAATTTTAGAAAATGCAAGAAAAATTCAGTTATCCGAAAAAATCACAAATGTAAAGACAATATTAGAATGAAAATAAAAAGCTTACAGTACACATCGGTTTCAGAAAAAAAAATTCTTTGCCTAATGTTACTTACTGTTTTTTGACACACTGACTCATCATTTTTGGTGCATGTACCTTTTTTTCACAGATTTGTTGTACATGTATTATAACAATAATGTATTTATAAGATAAGGGTTGACATGCCATGAAGATCACATACATATGAGTTCCACATCAAATCACTAGCATCATAAAACACTTGAAACGATGTGTAAACAGTAATGAGTGGAAGTTATCAACTACTCTAAAACATGTTGAAAAAGCGACATTCAATTTTAGCGAATTGCAGTAAAATGACGTAATAGCAAAATGTTGATTTAGCGAATCTACCTTGTCATTGTTGATTTCCTGTTTCCACAATACTTGTCTGTCGCGTGCCAAAACAAATCACCTCCATAAAAACAAAGAAAAACTGTCAAGTGTAATTAGGAAGCGCCCCAGATTTTTATGTTCCGGATTACTGAATACAAATCCCCAAGATTTGGCCATTTTATAAAGTCACTGGTGACATCTTGAATTAACGAATCAGTTCCCTCGCTAAACTCGCTAAAAAGACATGCTCGTGACAAAGACATGTTTTACAGTATTCATATGGCAAAACACACACTAACAAAACAAACTTCAGATAAACACTGCATGACCAGTTCTGTAACAGACTCACTCATTAATATTTTTAGAAATGTACATTTCTATTGTGTTTTTGAGATCCTCTTGCAATTTGTGTGATGTATCACACTAGTGATCTTCATCAAATATCACACTCGTTGCATACTTTTTACTTGTACATCTTTAATACGTCATTTCTATAAATCACACCTTGTTGTGAAGGAGCACTTCTTTAATGTCCAAAAGACATACATTGTATATGGAGCGAAAACAATATTGTTCAAATCAACCACTGGTACGTTTATTGGGGGTTGACATGGACGAATAAAAGAGGGGATATGACAGCTATTTATTTAGGATTTGCACATAGGCAGGGAGGGCAGCA